AACCTGCCTGTAAGTTACCTATTTAAACACTCTAATCATTAACCCTTCTCTCTATCCCAAACTAACATCACTACTATGACTAACTGCTTAAGCCAGCTAGTTCATCTGTAGATCTATTCTTTGCACAGCTTAGGTTCTCTTGAGATACGTATACTCAATATATTGTGAGCTGCAGAGCTCCAGTTAACCTCAGAAGTAATTCTTACCAGAGTGGTTATGTGCTTATTTCACAGATTCATCTTGATTAGACTCTTGTCAATATTCATACAAACCCAGTTTCTGCTATAGCTATCTACCAGATATAGTCCTTCAAGTTCTAGCCAGATGTTTTATGAGGTAGATCATCCTAATCTAGTTAGCTACCAAGCCAAGTTGGTGTTGCTGCTAATGCAAAGCACCAGGCTGTATTACATAGTGGACTTACTCACACCTATCGATTTTACATCTTTTGTACTCTGGTTTTTCACTGGATTAGGCATTAACTAGCTTGACTGTTGAAATTCGTACTACTTTACCAAACTCAGGATTTCTACCATGCAGGTCCCTTGCTCATAAATCCTATCAAGATTTATTCGAGTAATGTAACTTAAGCATTGCGTCATACTTCTAATATCTAATTGATATTAGTACAACATGATTTACAGAGTTGTAACCTTCAGAAATTGGCAGAGTTTACTGTAAGTTGGGTACAAAGGTCTGAATAATTATTCAAATTCATTGACAGTAGAATTTGAACTCCAGACCTCTTGCATGGTAGTCTGGCAACCTAACTACTACACTAAGATCGCCAGACCTATTAATATATAATCTTGTATATAAAACTAATAAAATTCTATTAGTAATATAATTTGTCTTAAATATTAAAAAAAAAATTAATTTTCTAAAGATTTTTTTTAATTAATTTTCTCTTTTTCTGCAGCACTTATCAAAAATTTTCACAAGTATATTAATTATCTGATTCATTTTTCTGATATTTAAATTTTTTTTTTTTTTATTAATTAAGGTAGCTTATTATGCTGAGTGGATTTTATTAGTTGAATATATAAGGTCATCTTTGACAATCTCAACAGTTTGTAATTATATAAAGAGTATATAATCTGCTACATATACAACTTTAGTCATTATCTAATTTAAGTAGTCTGCTATATAGATAGATCTTCTGTTTGGTTCTATATAAGCTGCTATATTTGTAACATGCTTGTAAGTTATCTATTTAAATACTCTGTTCAACTAACCTATACCAGAATTAATTAATATTACTATAACATCTAACTACTTAAGCTAGCTAGTTCATTAAAGATTTATTTATCTAACTCAGCTTAGATTATTTCAGGATATATATTTCTCAACATATTATAGCATACAAAGCTCCAGTTAATCTTATAAGTATTCCTACTAGTGTAGCTCATATCTATTTCATAGGTTCACCTAGCTTAGACTCTTGTGATATTTATTTAACTCTAGTTTCTACTGTAGCTCTTTACTAATATTGTTTGCTGATTTTTTTGAATATTTTATGGAATAGATCTTCTTAATCTAATTAACTGTTAAGCCAAGTTGGTATTGCTGATTCTTTTTGTAAAACAAACTTACTTGCACCTAACTCGATCTACATCTTTTGAGTAATAGTTTCTATTCAGATCAAGTGTTAACTAGTATGACTATAAAAGCTATACTATTCTACCAACTTAGGGTTTCTACTATGCAGGTCTCCTTCCTATAGATCCTGTCAAGATTTATTTATGCAATATTATGTTACATTTCTAATATCTAGATAATATTAGTGCAACTAGATTTATAGGATTACAACTCTAGAAATAAATAGAGTTTACTATAAGTTAGATACAAAGGTCTAAGTAATTATTTAAATTTGTCGATAGTAGAATTTAAATCTTAAATCTCTTATATGGCAGTTTGACAATCTAATCACTATACTAAGATTACCAGATCTTGATATTTAAATTTGTTCAGATATATCTTAATTATTATTGTATTCAAAACACAAATTACAGATTATCTTATGATTTTATAAATATTAATTTTTTTTTTTTTGCAATATTCAGCTCATATATTTATATAAAGAATCTAGTTTATTTAAAATTTTAAATTTTTTAATAAAACTTTAAATTATTAAAAATTATTATTATTAAAAGTTTTATAATTTAATTATCTAAAATATAAATAAATTTTTTAAATTTTTTAATTATAAAAAAAAATATTAAATTTATAAAATTAAATATTTAATTATTTATAATAATCTATATTATATAATTTGTTATAAATATTGATCTATATATTGTATATTGTTTACATTTTTTAACTAATTAAATTAAATATAGTATTTGCTATACTAGCAACAGAGCCTACTAACTTAAATATTATTATAACTAGTATTAAAAGATAAGAAACTTGATATATAATAGTAACAAATAAAAATATTAAAACTAACTAAACTATCAAAACCTTAACTAAACAAATTACTTAACTAAGTATTAACTTTATATAGAACAATTTGCTATTAAAGATACTAACTATATTGAATCTTTTAGACTCTTTAAACTATAAGTATCTTGCTACTATTATAGCAAGAATAGATATTATATTATATAATACTAAACTAAAAGAAATAATTAACAAAAAGAAAAAAAACTAAGAATATAAATAAACAATAAAAGTCAACAACCTGTTGCATTAAGTAGCCCTTGTAAAATCCATTCAAATGTTATTTTTTGCTCGTCCATAATTAAGGCTGTTGCAATGAGTCGTGATCTATTATAGTTATCTATACAAACTACCACATATATAATCATATTAAATCTATTTGTTTTGCAGATCGTGTTAAGTAAAATTATATCATGAAAATGATACCAAATATCAATTTGTTTGGGGTACAACCACAAAAGCCCTACAAGATGATTATCACTTCCCTCGAATTTTGCATCAACGTACCAACTAGGCATTTCTTGTTTTCGATGCATTAGCTCTTTATAGGTAGCACTTGCATCACTTAATTTTCTCTTCTCTGCTTTAGCTACTTGAATAACATTATAGACACTATGTGTATAAATATATTGATCTGGATATTTCTGTGTCAACAAATTAATAATAGCCCCTGTACGTACACCACTAGCAGCAAGAAGTTCAATATCATCTTGTATTTCAGATATAAGGCGATGATATTTGGATACAGCCATTTGGATATTATCACTTATTGGATGTGAATGCTCACCAATTATATCCGAAATATGTACTTGATTATTACTTTTCCATCTTTGAAAATTAAGATGATATTCACAACCACTATTCTCATGTGCTTTATTTCTTTCTTCCAATATATGTGCCTTTTTTTTTGCTTCATAACGATGTCCTTTAGAACAATAGTAAACCCGATGTCTAGGTATTCCATCATTCTTGTCTAGTTCACTTTTTACTAAAGAAAAAGCAAAGCCTCGTTCATGACTATATTTGTCAAGCCAACTTTCATTAATTAATACTGATACTATACATACATAAAAAACAATTAAAATAAAACTGTATTCAACTTACTTTTCAACAACTTTCTAATCAGTGAAACTTTGCCCTTTAGTTAAAGAATATAATCCCTCTTCTGAATCAGTCAAATCAGTCTTAGCCTTAGCCTCAGATTCTACTAAGCTATTACTTTCTTCAGATCGAAGTTGCCCATAAGAATTCAGAATTTCGTCAAATATATTTGTCTCAACATTGCTAATAAAACACAGATCTGCTTCGTCAAATTTGTCATCACTTGCCATTTCAAAAGCTATATAATGCTATGTACAATAAGATAATTTAAAGTTAAGTAAGTTAAGTTAAAATCTAATGAGTTGTATGTGTATAGATATATTATACGCGTTATATATGTGATGCGTCATTTCTAATCATTTATATATAGTTATACCAATAGGTGAAAATCACTATAAGTGCATTTTATAATAATTGATTTTTTTTATAACTTTAAGATTAGTTTTCTTTTCTATTAATTATCTAATTTTTAATTAAAAAGTTTTAAGACTTTTCTCTTGAATTATTGTTTAAATTATATTTTTGATTATTGTTTTATTTTTATTTTTAGTTTTTTTTTTTTT